AAAAAAAAAAAAAAAACAAACCAAGTTTGGAATTGGAAGTTTTGTTTAAAAGGGAACAACAAAAAAGAAAGAAAAAAAAGACAAAAAGTTTTCTTATAAATTTCAATAATACACAAAAGTATAAAGAACAATATTGCAAATCCCCATGTGCCTATTACCTAAACTCAATGTTATCAAGGTTTTGCTATACAGTGCTTGTTTCTTCATCTGTCCCTAACTTAACATCTTTTGTGTATATCAAGCATTTTTTTTAAAAAAATCTAGCCATCAGGTTTCTTATCCCTAGATAACTAGGTCTGTGTCTCTTAAGAAGATGGGACAGTTTTCATATAGCTACAGCCATTATCAGTACATTTAACCATACTTTTTTCTTTTTGCTTTTTCTTATTATTTTACATTTAACTATATTAACAATATGGTTACTATTGTAATTACTATTGATTACTGTTATTGTTAATATTGTTAATTTGATGAAGTGTTGTTATGAACACCCAATTCATATCAGAATTTCTTTTTTTTTTTAACATTTTTATTTTTTTTTTCTCTATTTAAAAAAAGAGATGGGGTCTCGCTATGTTGCCCAGGCTGGAGTGCAGTGGCTATTCACAGGCGTGATCCCACTACTGATCAGCATGGGAGTTTTGATCTGCTCCGTTTCCGACCTGGGCCAGTTCACCCCTCCTTAGGCAACCTGGTGGTCTCCCGCTCCCGGGAGGTCGCCATATTGATGCCAAACTTAGTGGGGACACTGATCGGCATAGTGCACTACAGCCCAGAACTCCTGGGCTCAAGCGATCCTCCCACCTCAGCCTCCCGAGTAGCTGGGACTACAGGCATGCGCCACCACGCCTGGCCATATCAGAATTTCTTTAGGTAGCTCAAAAATTTCTTTTCACAGTTGGTTTACTCAAATCAGGATCTTGACAAAGACCACATATTATAGTTGGTTGATATTCTGCATTTAATTCCCCTTTTCTCCATTCATTGGTGGATTTGTTGAAGAAACTGAATTATGTTGTCATACAGAATGTCCTACATTCTGGATTTGTCTGTTTCCTGTATGTCTAAGTTCACGCCTAGCCTGGAGTGCAGTGGCATGATCTCGAGTCACCGCAACCTCTGCCTCCATGATACAAGTGATTCTCTCACCTCAGTCTCCCAAGCAGTTGGGATTACAGGCACTCACCACCACACCTGGCTGTTTTTTTGTATTTTCAGTAGAGATGGGGTTTCATCATATTGGCCAGGCTGGTCTCGAACTCCTGACCTCAGGTGAGCTGCCCGCCTCAGCCTCTCAAAGTGCTGGGATTACAGGCGTGAGCCACCGTGGCCAGCCTTTTTTTTTTTTTTCTTTGTACACTGCAAATCAGATTTGGGTCTTAACTTTTTGGGGGACAAGAATACTTCATAGGCTGTACTATGTACTGTGTATCATATCAGAAGATGTGTACTATCTGATTGACCTATAGTGAATCTACAGTTGATCAGCAAGTTCAGATAGCAGTGACTCCCTTTATTTTAAAGACCCCCATTAACCTTTCATATGTTCTCAGGACTATTGCCTGAATCATTAGTGAGCTAGAAGTTGCAAAATGCTGAGTTTCCAATTGTCTCACATATTCTATGTGTACTAGTTGTAATTCTTTTGTAAAACAGAACCTTCACTATTAATTGGGGCTACTTAGTTACCTTGCTGTATATAATAATATGAAACAAAAAGACAGGATAGATGATTAATTTTTTCCCTTTGATCAATATTTTCAGAATAAAGAGTCGATACCCTGTGTATCTACAGTTGTGATCTATTGTTTATCTGTTTCTTGAATGGGGAGGACACTTTAAACTTTCGTTAGGAACTTAGGTTTTTTTCTGTATTTGGTGTTTCAGGTTCAGTCATATGTTCTTTAATACTAAATTGTCTCATGTTTGGCCAGTGAGTCTCTTCATGTTGGCTTATATGTCCTTTTGATATAATCTCTTTGTCTTTTATGATTTCCTTCCTTCCTTCCTTGCTTTCAAGTAAAATAAGACTTTCCAGTACTATCTTGTATGCTTTCCTGCTCCAGTTCTGAAATCAGCCATTTCTTCAAAGAGCCTTTGTCTTAGTGAATGGTATTTAGAGGACATAACCAGCATAGTAGGAGTGTTCATTACTATAGCGTTATTATTTCTCATTGCTACTTGACCTTTATAGTGGACAGAGCTAGGATGTATGTTTTCTGTGTGCTTTAGATTTTTTAGAGACAGGATGTAACTGTTACCCAGGGTGGAGTAAAGTGGCGTGATCATAATTCATTGTAGCCTTGAACTCCTGGGTTCAGGCAATCCTCCTGCCTCAGCCTCCCAAGTAGCTGGGACTACAGGCACATGCCACCACACCTGGCTAATTTTTT